TGGTAGGTGATGCATTTTCGAAGAAGGAATGAGGAGACACACAATGCAAACTATCTGGGCCTATTTTAAATCATAGAACTATTGAATCCCTACAGTGCAGAAAGAGCCATTTGGCCCATCAAGTCTGTGCCAACCCTCAGAACAGCGTCTCATCCAGAACCCCACGTTATCCCCATAACCCTGCATTTCCCATGGCTAACCCACTTCGCCTGCACATTCCTGGACACTACGGACAATATGACATGGCATATCCACCTAACCCACACATCTTTGGACAGTGAAAGGAAACCAGAGCACCGGAGGAAACCCATGTAGACATGAGGAGAATGTGCAAACTCCACACAGACAGTCACCCAGTTTGGGTTCTGCCAGGGCCACTCAGCTGCTGACCACTGCTGCCTGAGTCCCTGGCACCCTGATGCAGCAGTGGTAACCATGCCACCCTATGTGTGAAGAGCCTTGAGGATTTACAATTCACAGTTCTTAAAGGGGAGAAGGCCGAAACCTTTAACTTGCCAATACAAAAGCAAGGAAAATGTGTTAAAACATTTATGCATTATTCATTCAGCTTCACTTTGAGAATTGAGTCCAAAACTTGGCCCTGCACTTTGGAGAGGATACAATGGCCTTGGAGAGGGTGCAGATGGAGACTTACTTTAATCGTTGGGGGATTCAGTTACATGATGATTTTGAAGAAGTTTGGCTTGTTTTCCTTGGATCAGAAAAGGCTAATGGGAGACTTAATTTGAATTATCAAAATTTTGAAGGGTTTAATGGAAAATCAAGGGAGGAACTGTTGCCTCTGGTGGAAAAGTCAGTAACTAGAAGGGTCAGATTTAAGGTAATGGTGAAAAGAATGAGAGATGAATTGAGGATTTTTTTTAATTTGGAGAGATGTTATGATCTGGAATGCGTTGCCTGAAAAGATGGTGGAAGCAATTTCACAAACATCCTCCGATGGGAAATTGTATAAATACTTGAAAGGAAAGCTCTGTAACACAATGGGGAAGAAACAATGAGACCAACTATCTCTTTCAAAGAGCTAGTAGAGGAATAATGGGCTGAATTGACACCTTCAGTGTTGCATGATTCTATATCATTAGTCTTTTTGTTTGTATTAACTGATTTATGTAACTGAATTCCCAAATCTCTTTACACTTCTACAGCTTCTACTTTTTTCACCACTTAGAAAATATTTCAGTCTATCTGGGAACACAAAGTGACCCTACATGGAGCCAACTTGAATTCTATTTTCTGTATTTTTGCCCACTCATTAAGTCTGTCAATGACCTTTTGTAATTACTTTCTTGCATATAACTTCCCCTCCTTACTCAGAGGCCCAGCAAATTTACATTCTGCAACTTTCTATTCCTTTATCCAAATCAATTAATGAATGTGCTGAAAGGTTTGGAAACCACTTGTCACATCTGAGCAATTAGAGAATGCTCCCTTTACACCTACTCTCCTGCAGAAAATCCCAGCGATCATGAACCAGGTGAATTAAACCCATTCTGCAAACTCATAATGCACACTCCTTGTTGTGTGAAGTTCCACTTCAGAAAATAAGTTCCAAGCAGGTTTACAATTTCATCAAATACAAAGTAATAAATATTCCCCAATGGTTCATAATACCAGTTTATGAATTTTAGGCAAAGGATTAAAGATTATGACCGATGGCCCATTACTGAACTTACATACTAAAGAATATACAAGACTTATTTGAGTGATATCAGTATTGCTTTGTGTGCTATTAAGTGCCTTTAGAGAGACAGAGGAGAGATCCGCTGAACATGACTCCTTAATATTACAAGAAAAACTAACAGCAGAAAAATACATTTTTAAGGAACGCTTAAATGTCAAGATGACATTTACAATCCACATTGGTAAACCAAAATAACCAAATTTACTGAATGATTTTCAAATGAACAAATTTACATGGAAAATACCACTTGTTCCAACTTTTATTGAAATATGAATCAGAACAAATGCAACTTGTACATAAATATACAAATGATACATTGAATATAAAGGTAAATAAATAGTTGATACAAGAAAGAAACAATGTAAGCAACCATAAGCACACCCACCACAATTCTCAAAAATGTGACACATTGTAGCTACACAGTTCCATGACGTGACGTTCTTTATTCTTACAGGGTAGATCGGGTCCTATACAGTAATATATTTCACCCTTCAGGTTATCAGGTCTGATTATTCACTAGCAGTAAGAAACAATTCTGTGATCCCTCTCTCCTGCAGTTCAGGGCACTCCTGATGGCTTACAGAGTGCCCCTTCAGATGACCAATCGAGAAGAGATCAGTTCACAGCTTGGCCAGTTCTTTCAGAGACAGCAAGAACTGCCGATGCTGGAGTCAGGGACAACACAGTGTGGAGCTGGAGGAACACAGCAGGCCAGGCAGCATCAGAGGAGCAGGAAAGCTGACGTTTCGGGTCAGCAAACGTCAACTTTCCTGCTCCTCTGATGCTGCTTGGCCAGTTCTTTAACATCTCGGAGCTGTTTAAACCAGCTCGCATATTGCCTCCGAGAGCACCTGTCTGTTATTTCAGCTAAAAAGAAAATTGTCTCCCATATTTAATGCAGGGTTTCGGAAAACATTCTTCTTCTGTGAGCCCATTTTGAGGTTTGAAAATTGTCATGGCCCGTGAGGGAGAGCTGTGAGAGCAGGCGTACAGCTGTACTGCAGTTGTAACTCAGTCAGGGCTTTGTGGTGGCCATTGGATTTCAGCTCATGACCCTGACTTTGTTTAGTGTATATACTGAGTGAGTGTTGTTGTTGTTCACTGCCATGGGTGTGGACATTTCTATCTATCCTCCATTCTATTGCAAGGTTGTGACCTTTTTATCTATGGATGAGACCTGATCTGCAGAGTTTCTCCAGTGTATACTTCAAAAGACACTTTTACAATCCACAGACAGTTCTAGGTAAACACCTTTTTCAGAGGTGAAAGCATGGAATTTTATTTCACTGAAAGTCTACTCCTCCACTTGATTGTTTTCAAGCTCTCCCATCAGTTTCTATATATTTAATAAAATGAAGACTAATAATTGAACTGAACTGCATGTAGTGTCATCATGCTTGACAGATTTTGAATTATTTATCTCCGTGATTTGTTGAAAATTAAATTTCAGTGCAGAGAGAAGGACTCGCATTTATGTAGCACCTGTTTACAACTTCGGGATATTACAAAGCACTGTACAGCCATTGAAATATTTTTCAACTGTAGTAACCGCTCTAATATTGGGAAGCAGTGACTAATTTTGACAAAGTAAGATCTCAAACAGCACGGAATAAATGACCAGTTAATTTGACTTTTTTAGAATGTTGGCTGGGGAATAAATGTTGGCCATTGGGCCAAAAGACGACGTCTGCTTTTTTGGAAAGAGTGACCTGGAATTTTTGCCATCCACCTGTAAAGGTCTCTAGGATTTGATATTTTATTCAAAAGTACAACACCTCTAACAGTGTAGCACCCCCACAGGACAGTATTGGAGCTTTATAACTGGCAACTGAGCCACAGCTAAAGGTCAAAATTAATTTAATCTGATACTTAAATATGTGTTTACTCCCCACTAAACAGTTTCTGTGATTTTAAAAGCACAAATTATTAGATCAGACTCCCGGATCAGCTGTGATCTCCCTGAATGATGGACTGATGGTGATGGGTAGAATGGCCTACTTCTGCTCCTATATCTTATAGTTGACTTATGCTTATAATTACATTTAGAAATGTAACTCAGTGATTAACTTAATCTTTCAGTAAGATTCTGTTTCTTATCATTGTCAACCTCTGAGTTGGAATGAAGGGCCATTGTCCAATCCCTGCTTTACCTCATTCATTCTGCAAATGTTAATTTCTCACCTCCTTCACGTTTCTCAATGTTCAGCTTTATTTCAATATTCAGCTTGGATTTGACCTTTATCAGCAAGTTACCTGGTCTTCCCTTTTACTCTTTCACCCTGCAATCTATGCTTGATCCTTCACTCCAAATTTAGTAAAGAAGGTAACATAGCAAATCACAACTTTCTGTCATCTATATAACTGAAATGAAACTGGAAAACACTGGAAATTTACAGCAACTTCTGTGAAGAGCAGAATGCCGAATCACCATTCAGCCCTTCGAGCCTACTCCACCATTCAATATAATCATGGCCAATCCTCTTTCTCAATGCCATATTCCTTCTTTCTCCCCATGCCCCATCACTCTGATGGTTCATTATTCTGAAACATTAACTTCATCTCTGTCCTCTAGATGTTGCCTGACCTGCTCAGTGTTTCTAACATTTTCTGTTTTTATTTCAGATTTCCAGAGTCTGCAGAATTTCTCTAGACAGTTACTTTTACTGGCATCCCATTGAAATCAAGAAACTCTTCCATTTACCACTTAGTCAGGGTGCTGGATGGATTACCCCAGGTTTCAGCTGGCAAACATTCATTAGCACCAAAGCATACTCCTGGTGGGAGTCTGCAATAAAATAAGAAACTATTGGAGATATTCCAGGAGGCCAGGCAGCGTTTTGGAAGAGAAACAGAGTTAGTGTTTCAGGTTGACAGTCAGAAGGCTCACGAATGTTTCTTGCCCACTTTCCATTGTGAATTCACCTGTTGGCCACAGTGACTGAATAAACAAGTTGATTGATGTGGTATACCTTCCTATGTCTGACTACTTTAGGCTTCTCATTTGAGTTGATTTAATGATTATGGTAATTTTCTGGATCAGTCGAAGATCACTGTAGCTCTCTGATAATAGTTAATTCTGTTGCCTTTCAACCACATTGGAATCAAACTGGGTTGGGTGAAAGTTTAGTTGTCAACTCAACTGTACATCTGAAAATAGCAAAATGCCTGTAATATTTAGGGATCTACAATCCCTGGTAACTCAAGTTAGCTGCCTGGCTCATCTAAGTTGCTGTGAATTTATAAGGATTTCTTTGCCCAGTCAATCATTATTAACCACAGTACTATCGATTTGCTGTAGGGAATGTGAGCAGGGATTGCACCGATGAAGGTTGGACTGAGATGCTGCAGTCTTACACAGAGGCATGTGGAATCAACATGAGCAACATAGAGGATGATGTTGAGGTCAGTAGTTCTTTTCAACCATCTTTACATCAATAACAAAAGGTCACAGTTTCAAGATTGTCAGTAAGAGAGCTAGGAATGATATGAGGAGAAAACAACCTTGGATGACTGTCTGAGTGGAGTTTGCACATTCTCCCCATGTCTGCGTGGGTTTCCTCCGGGTGCTCCAGTTCCCTCCCACAGTCCAAAGATGTGCAGGTTAGGTGGATTGGCCACGCTAAATTGCCGATTATGTCCAGGTATGTGCAGGCTAGGTGGATTAGGGATGGGAATTGCAGGGTTATAGGATAGAGGGGTGGGTGTGGGTGGGATGATCTTTGGAGGGTCGGTATGGACTTGACAGGTTGAATGACCTGCTTCCACACTGTAGGAATTCTATGATTCTAATATTCTAATATACTCAGAGAGCTAGTAGGAACTGCAGATGCTGGA